TGTTCATTTAAGTGAGCAGTTGAAAGCAAAATTCTAAAGGCATTTATCTTGAAGGGAAAACTTTTTAAAAAAAAGCAAGTAAAACCATTAGTCACTTAGGATCCAATCTTACACGCGCACACACACACACACACACACACACACACACACACACACACTTACAAGATTATAGTAATAATCCATGCAGGATTATACATACCTCATCTATTCCTGCCCTCTGTGTATGGGATTCGCTTACCATTGACTGCACTCCCCATTGCCCTCCTCACACATGAAGAGCTAGGCTCATGTAAAGTTCTATGCACAGACTGCAGCCAACACAACATAGTCTACATCATGCAAACACATCTATTTAGCACATTATCTGCACACTGTACATATATCTCACTGAATATTTTGCAGTAATTTTTTTTATTTCTTTGGGAGAGCTGTCAATAAACCTGCTCTACATATACCTGTATAAGCAACTGCAATTTTGCAACAAGCACAAATTTATGCAAGAGGGGAATAGAAGTATAGAATGAAAAGGAAATGGCTGATTGATCTGGCAATAGGACCTCGCCATGCATTGTTACCCACATCCTGTCAACTTTGAACAGCTGGGCAAGATCTGGGCTGCTAAGATAGTCCACTGAAAAGTGATGTAATGGGTGAGTCCCATAATAAGAACACCACATAAACTTCAACATTTTTCAAAATCTTTTGTATATTTGAAAGCTAAGCAGGTTTGTGTGACCCTGGTTATTTTGTGGATGGGAAAGCGCCAGGGAATACCAGGGATATCAAACCAGGGCTAGGAAAGAATTCCACCTGAAGCCCTGGAGAGCTGCTGACAGCATTGACAATATAGGGCCAGATGGACCAATTGTCTCCCTTGTATAGGGCAGCTCCCCATATTCCTAAACCGCCATGAAATAAGCATGAAGGGTGGCTTGCCACCATCACTGCACCATAACATCACAATTTATGTTGCACTAGTTGCTACACAAATTCACTGTCAAACTGTGGCATTGTACTAGTGCTACAAATCAACAAGGTTCAGCACAGTGCTATCAAAAGCTGGCATCGTCTTTAAATGCTACATAGCTTCATTGCACAAAGCTATTGCAATTGGCAAATTCTCCCCGGAGCTAAAAAAAAGCATGCTATTAAAGACAGTTCGCCCACTTGCCATGAAGGCACCATGGAGCTAGTTGTGGTGATAGAAACCTACATGAGGCACCCAACCATGTAATGAGGCAGCATTTAGGCAGATCATTAAATCAGGTATGGTATCTGAATGGTGTAGGAATAAATTCTAAAGTATTGACCCTATCAGGAGTAAGAAGGCATGTAGTGATCTGCTTCAGGCAGAAGGATGTCTTGGGCCATCACAGTGGAGCACAAGCATAAATCATATATTGTTAGTTCCTGTCATCAACACCCCTAGTCTCCAAACCACTTATTTATTTTTAAAATGACTCGGTGCAAGTATTTGTGTGCTAGGGCAGCTGGAGATCAAGGAGTAGGGAGGGAAAATAAGAGCAAGGAATCAGCAGAGTGTGGGGAGGAAATTGCTTAAGCTTCACAGCCTGTTAAGTTAGCTTTGATGTAGCTGTGCCTCCTGCAAATCTGGAGGGACATCACAAAGTTACCTTAACAAGCTGCAAACAAGGCAGATTTCCAATTCCCATCCCTCTCTGCTGCCAGTTAGCTAAAGTAAACTCACCTGGGAAACTCATCTTCCTGGGTGTGAATTCACAGTGGATCCATTCGAATTTTTATGCTGTGTAGTCATACTCTGGATCAAGTTTTGCATGAAACATTGCAGAAAAATGGTATTTATTTGTATTTTTGAGCAACTTTTGAGAAATAGATCTTAACATTCCTCATAGTGGCCAAGCAGTTACGTATTTGACTAGAACACTGGATGGAGGAGCTGAGAGTATTCCTGTTATTCTCCATAACAGTGTCACAAATGATACACACAATCAATGACATTTGCAGAGCTATAATCACACATGCATTTGGGAATGAATTAATTTGACAGCAATATTTTCTGCAATAATAACTATGTGCCCCCAAGTCAATTCTGAGTAATGGTGACCCTTTCCAGAGTTTTCTAGGTAGTGAGTTCTCAAAAGTGGTTCACCATTCTCTTCTTCTGGAGATACTGTGAGGAAGTACAGCTTGCCCAGGGCTGCATAGGCTGGCTTCTCCTCAAGGGGGTGCAGTGGGGAATCAAATGCCCAACCATCCCTAGCTCAATGAACTACTCAGTCAGTGAATTCTTTAGTACAAAATCCACAAGTCTAACCCAGTGAAAACCACTACCTGAGCAAGCCACATATGGACTCTGAGCCACAAATGTACACACTGACTGTTCCTCAGTAAAATTATGCTTCTAAAAAAGAGTGTAATAAAACAGAAATCTATATCATCTCAAATAATGAAACTAATGAACTGTTCTTCAAAGCTGCATAGGGAGTAGGCAGAAATCTAATTTTAACTTTAACCACCTACTCAGGTCTCATAGCAACCACCCTTTGGCTTCCTTCCACAATATTTCAAATGGACTTATAAAATAGGGATCCCACTTCCTTTGTAGATAGTGTGCACCTTTGCAAATAAAGGTTTCATGTTTTTCCTGGAAGTGGAGGAGGAAAGAGCATGTACAGTTTCATCTGGCACACTAGATCTGGGTAAACATTCTTTAGAAGCAAATTTATCTCCCAGGTTCATGGCACATAGCAAAAACTAAATTTTCATTTTAAAAATATGTCAATAAGCATGTTTCTGTGTTCATGCACATGTGTGTATATCCATCACATTTCAAGAGAAAACGTCCTTTGACAGTCTGATCTTTCTTCAACACTATACATTAAGTCTTCTGATACCAGGGAAGCCAGTCATGAATGATAGGGAAGAAGAAGAAGAAACCCTAATAAGTGTTCTACTTGTAATAAAACCAGAAGCAGATATGAATGAAAATTGTATTCTAGGAACCATGCATTGTGACAGCCTATTTAAAAAGGAAGAGAAAGGAGAGTATTTAAGAAAAGCACTCATAAATCTGTAATTAAAACCAGCAACAAAGCACACTCCTGAATCCTGATATAGACTGCGCTAGTTACATAAGATCTAGAGGATTTGCACTGCTTCCTTTATTTATTACTATTGTTCTTACTACGCAGAGTTCACTTAAGGTCATTCAGGATAGAATTTAGAACCAGATGGGAATATTGCTCGTTGCTTTAAAGATGGCCCCATCTTCCCTAGAGATTATTATCAGGGGCTCATTGTTTATTTGTAGTAAGCTAATATAAATATAAGACACTTTAAGAAAATCAATACTGTACTTTTATGATGAGGAAATATGGAATGAATAGAATGACATGCTGAATCTACCCATAGCCAGCCAGTGGCAAGTTGATGCTCTAGGTCACAGAACACTAGGGTTGAATCTTGCCTGCTGTGGACTATCAGTAGCCCTGTCCTCCAGTCAGCAACCCAAAGGCATGAAAAATGTATCAAAGAGCAGAGCATTGTAACAAAACCACTGGCTGATAGCAAATTAAGGGCACTGGAGGATTCTACCCCATGACCCCACTGCATCACTCCACCTTTGCCGTTCTGTAAAAGGAGCTGGTGACTAAAGGGAGTGTATAAATCAAGCACTGTACCTTGGCCTCCCTATTGGATTTGGAGACCAATTGAGGGCTTTGGAATGTATTCTGATTCAGTCCACAGTGACCTGGGGCACAAATCAAATTGGATGGGGCATAAATCATTTTGGACTGAATCAGGATACACTCCAAAGTTCTGAACTGAGGGAGAGGGAGAGATAGAGTGACAGAGAGGGAGAGGAAAAGGAAAAGGAAAAGGGAGAGGGAGGGGGGAAGTTCAAGGAGATGGGCATTTGTCCCGCTGTTTAATGCACTTAGGGGGCAGGTTGGTTTGCTTTTTGTCCCAACAATCCAATGACCTAATCACTAGACTGAACCAATCAATCCCCAGAGCACTGTTACTCACGCCTTTTTGAGCCCCTGCCAGGGGTTTCGGCTTTTTTGTGCCCTCTCTTTTGGTCCATTTCCAGTGTATGCAATTGTTGGGAATGGACGAAAATCAAACCTTGAAGCTGTCCAAGTTGCTAAGGTTCCTTCTGATGTATATTTTTCATATCACGAAGTAGCTTAATAAGTGAACCACTACCAGCAAATTGAACACTTCCTCTGCCCCTCTACACAGGGGCAGGGGAAGTGAAATTTGCTGTTACTGTTGCTGTTGTTAACTTATGCTAGACCTTCACTGGTGTGCTGAATCACTTAGATGTGTGAAGTGCCAATTGAAACCATGGCTGCAGGCAGTTTCTCGATCAGCACTGCACACAAGGCAAAGAATTTTTTCCCAACTTAATATAATGATTCAGTGCATTCACCATTTCCCCCGTTCAGTAATCCTTCCATACAACGCTTTTCCTGTCTCTGCTGCCTTTTCCCTCAAGCTGGATTGAGGTATGGGAGAAGTTCCATTTTGGAGAGGAGAAAAAAATGGGGTATAAAGCCTGAGCTGGCACTACTAAAAAGTTGGGTGAGGCTATTGCATCAAACAGCAGGATTCAGGGAGGCAGGGAACTGGTAAATTGTATCTATCCTCCTATAGAAGAGCCCCCACAAACTACAGCAGCTGGTTGTCCACCTTTCTGTTCAGTTCCCCATGCCCTACTTTACATCTATGGCTGGCCTCCGTCGTCCTCTCTTGTGTTGTGTCTTGGGAGTTAGCAGCTCCCCCCCCATTTCCCTTGCTACTCACCCTTTGTTGCCCTCCCACTCTTGGAAGGAAGAAGGGAGTGCTATGAAAGAAGCACTGGTTAGCTAGCATGCCCTTACCTCAAGGGACCAATATGAAGCTGGTGAAGGGGGTAACAAAGACAAGGGTGCATGGGGCAGTGACACCAAGTGAGGTGAAGTGAGCACCACAGACATAGGTGGGCATATGCAGAGCACCAGCGCAGCTGTCTTTCTCATGCCTCAGATGGTAGGAGACTTTGGGACACTGCATGGGATGGCGATGGCACCTCCATAACCCTTTGTCCTGTGTCCTCTAGCCACTCACTTTGGAGGGCAAAGCTGTGGGTTCCATATGTGTCTGCCTTTCTTCAAAGTAAGTAATTAGTGTACTGCCTTCAGGGGTGGTGGAAGATGTTATCCCATTGCTAGTGTTGAAATAAGATCCAGCTGTCCATCCAGCTGGTTTCCTCTAAAAACAGTGGAATGATGGGCCACCTTGCAGCAAAATGTAATGAGAGAGAACTTGTACCCTTCTACAAATGTTCCTCTATTAGTACTAATAAGTATTAGATGTCATCAGATCGATTCCAACTTATGATGACCCTTTCCAGAGTTTTCTAGGCATAAAGTACCCAGAAGTGGTTGACCACTTCCATCATCTGGGGGTGCCCTGGGGACTGTACAGCTCGCATCTGGGGGTGCCCTGGGACTGTACAGCTCATTCAAAACTACACAGGCTGGCTCTTTTCCTAGCAGGTGCGATGAGGAGTCAGACTCCCAATCTTATCTTACTCACTGAGCTATCCAGTTAGCCCTCTATTAGTATTGTGTTTAGGCTGTTAGACATGCTATAGGGTTAGGACTGCATGATTAGTGCCAATTTCTTTCCTTACCTTACTGCATGCCTTCGCTTAATGTGTTTACCTGCTTTATCAAGAACCCTGTGCACAAGTGCAACACTGACAAGACAAAACGGCAAATCCTATCAATGTAGTTTATTTTATGTAAGTCAGGATTTCTTTGTAATTCATAACAAGTATTAACAAATGTGTCTGAGGACTTACCATCATCTATCTGCTGCTTTGTTAATAGTTTCTACCGCATTTGAGATTCAGGGATATATAAAGTGTAATGTGTAACCTAAGGCAGAGCCCATGTCTGTAGGTACACAACTTCTGCCACTGCAGCTAAAATGCTGTTTTTAATTCTGGGAAGCCAACGAGAACTTCCAGACTATTTTAAGAGGGGACCATAGAAAGATCAAAAAGTATAATGAGCCTGATGTTTTATTCATCTTGAGTGATATTGGGTCTAATCCTGTGAGCCCTTGCTCCTGTGAACAATACTTAAGACTTCAAAAAGTCTGTTTTCTCATCAAGAGGTTTCCTTCACAAAAGAACCCAGAGTTTGACAAGAATAAGCTGACTATACTGTGCAATGTGGCCAATTAAAAGAAAACACAAGGTTTTTCTGTTAAAATTCCAAGCATATTTAGAGACAGTTAATAATGATCAGAGATTGTATAGCTGTGGGATGATGCAATTGCATAAGAAGCATAAATATATTAATATAGGGATGATGCAATTGCATAAGAAGCATAAACATATTAATATATTTATTCCAAAAAATATTACATATCAAAATTTCTGGCATCCCACAGCTATACAATCTCTGATCATTTATATTTATATTTATTCCAAAAAATACTACATATCAAAATTTCTGCCCAGGCAGAATGAAGCTTTATTAATTAACCAGCCTTTGGTCTTGCAAACGGAGAACAACATTCTCCAGAACCCGGCTTGCTCCTGCATCTGCTGCAAAAAAATGTAAAAGGAGGTGATATCTCCTTGAAGACCAAGTCACCAGAAAGCAAGTATTCAGGGCACTATTCTGTTTTTCAAATATAAATCCAACTTAAACACCTACATTTACTTTCAAGTGGAGTCTGAAAAGATTTAAAAGTTGATGCAATGTGGCTATTTTCCTTCAGTACAGCAATATCACAATGCACTCCGCCAAGATGATTTGTTCAAGAGACGGGACCTATTTGGGGGCGAGCACAGATTATGGAACTCACTCTCTCCTGTGAGTTCTATTTGACCTCAGTGTACTGTATATGCCAGGCACAGGGGACTCAATAAAAATTTTATGGACCCTGGAACCTTCACAGATGATTTTTCCCCCATGGTGACAGTGAAGAATTGTCCCCAGAATTTTTCAGAAGTAGTATTACTCCTCTAGCATTTCCATAACAGCTTTTTCAGCTAGAGTACCTGGTTGTTGAATACTGTCCTCATGGAAGTCTAACAGGTGTCAACTACGTGTGTGTGTGCATATGCACGCGCACACGCATGCTTCCTTTTGTTAATATAAAAAAGAAGCTGCCATGGAGCTTCATGGGAATTGTAGTCTCACTGCCCTTTAGGATCTATAGAAGGTGCCTCCCACAAAAACTGACTCCTAGGAAAAATTGTGGTGCCTACTCTCTCTTTTTTCATTAACAATAGGAAGCAGAGTTAGAGAAGGCCATACCGCCTCAGAGGTAGGTCCTTCTCCTGGTGAGCAAAATGTATCCACCTGTAGGTGTGCATTTGTGGGCTGTGGGCTAAAACTCCCAAATTCTGCTGGGAATTCTTGAAAGCAATGGGAGTTCGAATAAAAAAAAGAAAAGGAAAGGAAAAAGCAGATATTCGCAGGGATAAGCATTTGGTACCTAATAGTGTCGCAGTTTGATTTCCAGTCTTTCTGTTTGCTGTTTTTCGTTTTCCTTGAATTATTAAAGTGTGGGGTTTTTTAGAGATTTAATTTTTTTAAAAAGTGCATATTTTTAAATTATTTTAACGTGCCTTTATTGATTATACTCTACCTTGAGATCTGTCACTACAACAGTATTTAGAAATGCTTAGATAAATAAACAAGTAGTTTCCACAGCAGGTTCCTTTCATAATAGGAGATCTGCCTGGCACATCCAAATAAAAATGAATGAACTTATTCTCTCCTGCCTTCGTCTTCAAGAACATCAAACCCCTCAGACACTGCTCTCCTAATTCCACGGTGGTCAATGGGAGAAGAGGCACCCATCTTACATGCTAGCAAAAAAACACATGCCAGCAAAGCGCTGGATCAGCGACACTGATGTAGCCTCATAAATCAGGTCTGTGGATGTTATGACCTGCCAAAGACTGTAATTCCTCGAATTTTGCAGCCCTCATGGCCAGTCTGATAAAGGAACTTGTTCCAAGCTCTGCAAATGCCTTGTATGTATTGCAAACTACTAGGAATGGCTAGTTTTGCTATTTGTCTGGACTGTGGGAATAGAAACAGATGCCAGGAACCTGGCAGGAAACACTGCCTGACTGGTGGATGGCAGTTAGCCAGGTTACAAGTTGCACAGATATGCCTTTTTCTTTTCTTTTTTTTCCCTTTTCTTTTTCCCCCTCGATCTGCATCAGAGTTTCTGGACAATCCCAGATATTGTGTTGGTGAAGCAGAGATGCATTTCATTCCTGTTCCCAACTTTTGTACTGATTCTACGAAAATGCCTTAGGAGGCTGAGAGCTACAGATAATAATTGTCATACTGGATCAAAGTAAATTCCATGTTAGGAGTTTACATATACATATAATATGATGGGGGTGGCTATGCCATGTCATTTGTCATGCCATTTTTAAAATTTATTTATTTGATTTGTATGCCACCACATAAATGTACCATAAATACTGCTCTTATATAAATACAGTATAACTTGTATTTATACAGGTTAACTATGCCATGCTACCATCTTTGCTGCCAGTACAATTTGGATAACAGTCCCACATTTCCTCTAAAATGCTTAAAGTGAATGTTCTTGATGCACCTAGCAGTGATTTTCTCAGTTGCTTTTCTTATCCCCTTTCATGCACACATTATCCAAGTCTCATCCATGTGAATATACTTGAGATACTCTTGCAGATGTAGCCTTTTCCATAATAACTTGCTAGGAAAATCTGCTAAATGAAGACAATTATTCCTTATCGTCTGCCACTAGTCATCTAAATGTGACTTAAGAGGCAGAGTATTTTTGTAGTTGTTGTTCACATACAAACTCCTTTGAAGATTCTGGAAGCCAGCCAGGGTGTCACAAACCTTTTAGCAAAGTTTTTTCCCCCTATTGGTGCTTGTATTAGTTTGCCCTTCAGAAGATGGTGCAACTGCAGGACTTCATTACAATGTGTGCATAGGCTGATTTTCACTTATTTATCTATGTCTATTATGTGCGATAATGAAGCATCTTCTTTCACTCTTACCACACACCCCTCTCTTGGTAATAGGATTAGAAGATGGTTGCTTCCTATATAAGAACTTGATGATAGTAGAAACTCTATTATCATTTCTATAGTGTCAGAATGTAAACACAATGATAGGTGAAGAGAGAGGGCATTAAAAGAACCCTGTTTTAAAGACTGCTTGCATTTTTCAAACTTGAGGTGGCAAAATTAAAAATCCTGGGTTGCTTTCCTGGTAAGAACGTGGTTTTAAAAAAGTTTAAAAAGACAAAACCTATAGATAGGCACTTTTACAGAACAAGAAACACGGCCATCCATCACTCAAGCCACACTTTTAAGGCAGTGGGTTGATTTTTATTTCTCTCTCTCTCCTTTTCCTTTACTCGTTAAGAATTCCATTCCAGGAATCGCACTGAATGACACAGTTTCTCTATTCTGTGAAAGAAATCCCACTCCTCTCCTTTGTCCCTCTCCTCCCTCTTGTCCTTCTTTCCCTTGTAGGCCCTCATCTTTACTACTTTATGCCCAATCGCTCCCATTCAGCAGTGTCTTTTCTCTCTGCCAATGGCAAGGCACCCCTTCTCTCTCCCCCCCCCCGCTCTGCCTCTGTGCAACTTAACCACAAAATAGAACTCTGCTGTCTCCAGACCTACCAAGCACGTACAGAAGTGCAAACGACCAAACAGATGGGATCCCCCCCCCACTATCCAAGGGCCAGGAGTCCTTCCAGGACAAAATATGTGCCCCTTTCACATGTCCTGGTTTGGTGCATTTGGTTAGAAGGCCTGTGTGGTTTTAAGTACTGAGTTATTTCTTCACTGTTAAGTTTCCTCCCAAATAAAGAAGCTTTATTAAGCCCACATGATGCCTTTCAAAGCTTCACCAGCTTTTGGAAGCCTCACAAAGTTTTCTGTAGGTGTATTTCTACTTTTATTAAGCTTTCCATCAAAAGCAGTGTATTCTGACAACTGTGTCTTGAATACTTATTGGACATTCACTTTTCTGCCTGAAAAACCAGCAGCTACTTAATGTCCCATATTAAATTCACACCCTCCCTCCACCGACCCACTTCCATGCATATTCAATGGACCATATGGTAGATTTC